GCCAAACCCGACTCAGATCCTCGTTCTCCTCTTCCTAAAACATCAGTCAGGATGGAGAATAGCCGTGTGCCTCTGCATGTTCTTGGAAAAGTCGCTGACTTCTCTGGACCTTGACTTTCAATGGGAAAATTAGAGGGTTGCTCCCTTCAAGCCTATGATTCTTTCCAGTCTGATTGGCCCCGCCCAGGGGCCCCAACACACTCTGCAAATTGATTAGGAAACAGGAAGAGTAGAGAGGCGGGCCTCCCCCAGTGAAACCGAATACAAAGGGGACCTTGAATGGGAAAAGGCAGGTGCAATCTTTGCATCTCAAGAAGCACACCTGTGCTTCACCCTATTAGCTCATGTAGATTGAAACATGAATTGTCGGTGCCAAACTCAACATGCTCTATGCATGGGCAGCTTCTGCCTTTTTGTCTGAGAACACATACAACTCAGTCTTCTTTGTTGTTTTTTTTTTTTCTTTGTTTGTTTGTTTTGTAGGAGTCAAACACAAGACCTGCAATTTGCCCCACTCGCCCCTTTTCCTTGGTAGGAAGCATCAAGTTCATGCCTGTATGGCATGCTTGCATGTTAAAGAGAACAGTTTTCTCTGATGTGGGTACACACCGAGATTTTTCAGGGAGCCATAGAGGTAGATCAATTTGAAGCATTGGCATTCAATTTATTCCTTATCAAAACAAAACAAAAAGAAAATAGCTGTGGGAGATGAAATGAGTGGGCTTAAATGGAATTTAAAATATGCTTTTTTATATGCAAATAATATTTCTGTATTTTTCTGATACTGATAAATACATTGCAACAATGTAAAATGACAATGATTAAAATACTAATTGAAGGTACTATCCTTTGGAAATTTTTGATCTGTATTACGTTTAACTTTAAAGAATATTCCCATGAAGAATGGTTAATGAGTTCTTTTAAAATATATTTTTATTTTTAAGCTACTTTTTGAAGTATGATTGACATATAAAAAGCAGTGCATGCCCAGCTAGTGTGGCTCAGCAGTTGAGCATCGACCCAGGACCAAGAAGTCATCAATTTGATTCCTGATCAGGGCACATGCCTGGGTTTTGGGCTCGGTCCTCAGTGTGGTGTGTGTGTGTGCAGGAGGCAATCTATTGATGATTCTCTCTCATCAATGTTTCTCTCTCTCTATCCCTCTCTTTTCCCCTCTCTCAAAAAAAAAATCAATAAAAGCATATAAAAAATAAAAAGCTTTCCATGTTTAATGAATACCACAACTTGATGACTTTGAGGAGAAGCATACGCCCATCGAGTCCATAAATATATCCATCAATTCCCAAAGTCTCCTCCTACTCCCATTATTATTATTGTAGGAAGGCAATATAAGATCTTCCTTTTTAGAAAAATTTAAGCATCCATTCCAGTATTGTTAGCCAGCAGCACTATATCTTGCACATGGCTACAGGTATGCTGTACAGTGGATCTCTAGAACTCAGTCATCTTACATAACTGACACTTGCTACCCTTGACCATCATTTCCCCATTTGTCCCTCTGAGCTCCTGGCAACCACCATTGTAACTTCTGCTCCTATCAACTTGATTATTTTAGATTCCACATGTAAGTAAGATAATACAGGTTTTTATCCTCCTCCTTCTCCTTCTCCTTCTCCTTCTCCTTCTCCTTCTCCTTCTCCTTCTCCTTCTCCTTCTCCTTCTCCTTCTCCTTCTCCTCCTTCTCCTTCTCCTCCTCCTCCTCCTCCTCCTCCTCCTCCTCCTCCTCCTCCTCCTCCTCCTCCTCCTCCTCCTCCTCCTCCTCCTTCTCCCCCTCCCCCTCCCCCTTCTCCCCTTCTCCTTCTCCTTCTCCTCCTCCTTCTCCTTCTCCTTCTCCTTCTCCTCCTCTTCCTCCTCCCCCTCCCCCTCCTCCTCCCCCTCTTCCTTCTCCTTCTCCTCCTCCTCCTCCTCCTCCTCCTCCTCCTCCTTCTCCTTCTCCTCCTCCTTCTTCTCCTTCTCCTCCTCTTCCTTCTCCTCTTCCTCCTCTTTCTCCTTTTTCTTTGTTTACTTCTTCTTTTGATTTAAAAGAATAGTTTATTGATTTTCAGAGAGAGAGGAAGGGAGAGAGAGAGAGAGAAACATGGATGTGAGAGCACAACATTGATCAGCTGCCTCCTGCACACCCCCTACTAGGAGATTGAGCTCCTAACCTGGCCAAGTGCCTTTTACTGGGAATCAAACTGGCAACCTCCCAGTGCACAGGATGATGTTCCACCAACTGAGCCACATTGGCCAGGGCTTCCTTCTTCTTCTTTTTTTAAAGGCTGCATAGCATTCCAGTGTATATCAATACCCTTTTTCTTTGTCCATTTATCAATGGTCAAACACTTAGGTTGTTTCCATATCTTGACTATTGTGAACAATGCTGCAATGAATACGAGGGTGCAGGTATCTCTTCAAGATCCCGAATTCAATTCCTTTGAATATAAACCCACAAGTGGGGGATTGCTGGATCATATGGTAGTTTTACCTATAACTTTTTGAGGAACCTCCCTACAGTATTCCGCAATGGCTGTACCCAGGTCTCACCTAGGACCAGCTTTGTATACCAAATAGTCCTTGAGTGACAACTCAGATATAATATGTGCAAGTTACGGGGAGGTAGGTTTACATTGATTGAAAACAATAATTACAGAAATGTTTAATTGAGTCCAACTACATTTGTTAGAGTTTATTATGAAGTTATTTTCTGCCCTGGATCAGGGGATAGATTTGAAAATGCCAGACCCAGGTGCATATCTCAAAACAAAGAGCTGAACAAGTCCTTTATTTGGTAAAGGAGAGATCAGTATTTTTCCAGTAATTTCTCCTCTTGCCTTAAGCTAACTTGGAGTTAGGTGTCTACTACTTCTGCTCCCCCACCCCTTTCCTAACTGAGGCAGAAAACGTGGTTGGCACTGTCAAATGCTACAGGAGAAAGAGGCGTGTAAAGAGGAACTAGCAGATTTGACAGCTGAAGTTTGAGAAAGATGTTTCACAGAGTTAGTGAAGGAGAAGGAAGGGGTTAATGAGCAGCTGGAGAAGGAGGGGAGCAGTGAATGAGGTTGTAGTGAAATGCTGTCTTGAAATATGTAATTTCATGCCTTTCCCCCCCCCTGAACATTCCTATATTTGACCTTTCCTCTAGTTAGAGACATTCACAATCTATAATAATAAAAACATCATATGCTAATTAGACCAAATGTCCTTCTGGATGACCTCTGGATGAAGCTGGGGCTGCAATGGAAGCCCGAGTCCCAGGTACCAGAGGGAAGCCAGTGCCAGCAGTTGGGGGAAGGAAGGCCTACTCTTGCATGAATTTCATGCATTGGTCCTCTAGTTGTCTATAAGAGAATTAGGTTTGAGTCAGTGGGTCTGCAAGGAGAAAGTAACTTACAATGTTAAATCTTTAAAAATATTTGAGATTTCCAAAATAAAGTAGCAAATAGCTAAAGAGAGGGCTTTGAGGGAAGCTATAAGGACTATTTATGCCATGAAAACTGATGGCAAAGAAAATAGAGGGAAGACTCATGTAATACTTTAAACAATAAATTAAAAAAAAAAACCTAGAGGGAGTGTGAGAATTTTCTTGCCTGCCCTTCCCTCTGCCTCAGGCCAGGTGAGAGCCTTCTGGATGAGGATGGGACAGAGCAGTGGTTCTCAACCGTGGTTGCACATTAGAATCACCTGGGAATCTTTTTAAAATCCTGATCTCTGGGCCTCATCCTCCAGAAATTCTGTTTCTTTGTTATGGGGGGAGGCCAAAACATTAGTAACAAAGAAACAGAATTTCCTGAGAATGAGGCCCAGAGATCAGGATTTTAAAAAGATTCCCAGGTGATTCTAATGTGCAGCCAAGGTTGAGAACCACTGGGATAGAGTCTTGGAGGAGAAGGTAGAAAGTGCTGAGATTAAAATCACCTGGACCTTAGGTGGTGGAGGGGGAAGGGACAGAGAGGGGCAGGGGATTGGCTGGTGCATTAACCATCACCAGCTTCAGAGAGGTACATGGGAGCCCAGCCATATCCTATAGATCATCACTCAGTGGAAGTGGCCCTGCAAGTCACCTGGGCAGAGAAGCTGCTTCGGATGACCTCCTAATTGCATTGGCCAGTGCCTCCCGTGACGCAGCACCAACTTCCTAATCATGGACTGACAGGCGAGCTGCTTGTCAATGCCCTGAGATTCAGTGAGCCCCATCCCATCAGCTCTGTGCAGAACTTTCCTCCCACGCCTACCAGCCTAAGGCCCTTGTAGTGCCCTTGAAACGGAGGGAAGGTTCTTGGTGTTTAGGTAGGGTATGTTTGGGTACAGAATGGCAAGCAGAAATATCTGACAAATGACAAACTCTGCTCAGTGACTAGCTAGACTAGGCAACTAGCCTGATTGAGGGCCCCCTCTCCACTGCATAGGTCATGGCTAATCTCAGCTTCATATGGGAATTGTGAACCCGTCCTGCTGGTAAGTGGCCACTCAGAGCTGTGGAGGCTGAGCAGCTAGCTTACCCAGCATCCCCTGAAACAGCTTATTATGTGTCTGCACATAAATATCAATCAATTTTCCTTTTGATTAAGATAAGTATTAATAAATATTTTTGAACCCCACAATTTATAGTTTGCTCTATTCCCACCAAAATTTCTTATACCCACAAACTCACAGACACACACTAACCCACCATAAGCATTTGGATCATATATTAAGAGAAGTATAATAGCTAGTGGAGGTGGTCATCATCCTATCTAATAAAAGAGAAACATGGTAATTAGCATACGACTGCTACCCTTCCCATTGGCTAATCAGGGCGATATGCAAATTAACTGCCAGCCAAGATGGCGGCTGGCAGCCAGGCAGCTTAAAGTGAACATGAGGCTTGCTTGTTTCAGTGACAGAGGACTCCAACGTTCCCCGCCTGCCGCTGCAGGCCTCTGAGCTGCAACTCTAAGCAACTGTGTTACAAATATAGAAGCTAAACAAAACCCCAGAAACCTGCTTTAGTCCGCCGGGCTTCAGCCAGCAGGATCGCAACATTGTTTCAAATACAGAAGGTAAGCAAAGGCCAGAAACCTGCTTTCAGCAGCGGAGGCCTCAGAGCTGGAGCCAGAGCTAAAGCTGGTCCAGAATTAAAAAAAAAAGAAAAGAAAAAAAGGAGCGGTTGGGAGCTTCAGTCACCCACCAGCCTGAAAACAGCCCTCAGCCCCTCACCCAGACTGGCCAGGCACCCCAGTGGGGACCCCCACCCTGAAGGGTGTGTGACCAGCTGCAAACAGCCATCATCCCCTCACCCAGGCTGGCCAGGCACCCCAGTGGGGACCCCCACCCTGATCCAGGCGGCACCCCAACACCCACCCCACGGGCCCTGCTCTGTGTGTGATGGGGTAGAGCCATAACCTCCCCATTGGCCCTGCCCTGAGTGTGACAGTGGTGGCGCCCCAACCCCCTGATTGGCCCTGCGCTGTGGGTGATAGAGGGTGGCGCCCCAACCCCCTGATCCACCCTGCTCTGTGTGTGACAGGGGGCAGTGCCCCAACTCCCCTATTGGCCCTACTCTGTGAGTGACAGGGGGGAGTTCCTCAACCACCTGATCGGCCCTGCTCTGTGTGTGACAGGGTATGGAGCCCCAACCCCCCTAATGGGCCCTGCTCTGTGCGTGACAGGGTACGGAGCCCCAAACCCCCTGATGGGCCCTGCTCTGTGCGTGACAAGGGGTGGCACCGCAACTTCCCCATCGACCCTGCCTTGAGTGTGACAGGGGGCGGTGCCCCAACCCCCCAATTGGCCCTGCTCTGAGCCCGACCAGGGGCTGCACCTAGGGATTGGGCCTGCCCTCTGCCACCCGGGAGCAAGCCTAAGCCAGCAGGGCGTTATCTCCTGAGGGGTCCCAGACTGCGAGAGGGCACAGGCCGGGCTGAGGGACACCCTCTCCCTCCCCCGAGTGCACAAATTTTTGTGCACTGGGCCTCTAGTTCTATATAATAAAAGGCTTATATGCAAATTGTCCCCTCGACCAGGAGTTCAACCAGGGGATGGGGCCAGCTGGCTAATTACCTGAGGCCCCTCCCCTGGCCTCCCTCTGCCCCCGATTGCCCCCCCCCCCTCGATTGGGGGCAGGGCTGGCTGGCCAACCTCTCCCATCCACTCCCCCCCAGCCAGCCTGTCCGGATCCGCCCAATCAGAGTGGGCCAGCTGGATTGCACCCATGCATGAATTCTTGCACTGGGCCTCTAGAAAGAACATAAACTAAGAGGTTACATACTTTAGGTACCAAATGAACTGTGTGTTCAGGTGTATCTACCTCTCTCTCTGAAGTAGGAGAGGGAAGGGAGGAGAGGCAAGAGAAGACAATGAAGAAATGAGAAGAAGAGGAGAGGGTGGGGGGAGATTGGGCCATTCTTAGAATAGTATTAGCAGAAATGAGCAGCCATAGTTCACTATCTACCAGTCTACTGAGAATTTTCTCCTTGACGGACTAGTTACAGTGTATTCAATACTGTGCCAGGAATAGAATGACCTGTTTCTCTTTCAGAACACCGAGCCAGAAAGCAACCACAGTAGGAGGCAATTTCCGTTAACATCTGAGCAACCAGAGGTACATGCACCACTTTCAATTACCTCGGTCTTTCAGGCATTCTGCACATATGGGGACAAGAGAGATGATGGCATGATAGGAGTCCCTGCCGCGACAACCGAAGCACCTACAATTTGTCTTTTATTTGTTCTTGTCAGGCAAAGCTCTAGATCTACAGTCAAACCGTCAATCATGTAGGAAGACTGGCTTTTTCAGCCAAGGGTCAAGCAGACCAGATGGAGAGACTATGGTTTCACAAGGAATGGGCTGAAGGTGAGAGGGTGGGCAGGAGGAGAAAAACAATAAAATGTTCCCTGTGATGGACAGGCTGTGGTCAATTTCCTGTGCATGGACAAATAGAAAGGACTGCACTGTTGTCACTGTTATTCCCATGCATCCCTGAGAGAGGAGGCTTGTTCTGAATCTATGGGAAGGGGCTTAGGGGCATAACAGACCAATGAGGTTCGAGACAGAGGGGAATGGCTGGAAGAGTAAAGCTTGGGTGATACTGAATGAGTGTCCATTATGTAGCAATCAGCTGGCCAGGTGGGCTGGGAGCAGAAAGGTCAAAGGAATTTTCTGTAATAGTGAAGTGGAGCCTGGGAGGCGTGGTTGATCATTGACCTATGAACCAGGAGGTCACGGTTTGATTCCCAGTCAGGGCTCCGGGCTTAATCCCCAGTAGGGGGCATGCAAGAAGCAGCCAGTCAATGATTATCTCATCATTTATGCTTCTCTCTCCCCCTCTTCCTTCCTCTCTGAAATCAATAATAATATATTTAAAAAAATAATAGTGAGGTGGAATTTTCTCATCAAAGGAAAGTTTTATCAGACATCCTCCAAAGAAAGTGATTAATATGAAAGACTCCGTACTGGTGCAGTGTTAGACCATGTGCAACCCAAATGTGCAAGAGGATAGTATTTAATCAAGAGCCGTACTGAGCACCAGGAGGAACTCCTGAAATCAGTGTGATGGAAAACTGAGGACAGGCCCATTAACTGGATGATTGCAGCCCTATAGGATTAAATGCTTTGCTGTAATGATAAGGCTTGCAAAGGATCTTGAGTCTCTTAAAAGGGCTACGATTGGCCCTGGCCATTGTGGCTCAGTTGGTTGGACATCATCCTGTGAACTGAAATGTTGCCTGTTCGATTCCAGGTCAGGGCACATGCCCGGGGTTGTGGGCTCGATCCCCAGTAGGGGGCGTGCAAGAGGCAGCTGATGGATATTTCACTCACACACTGATGTCTCTCTCACCCTCCTCTCTCTCTAAAAAAAACAATAAAAAAAAATCTTAGTGCAGTGATTGGCTGTTTACTATGGACATGGTGCACAGATTCATTAAATGTGAGAGGAAGGCACCTTTGTGGCGATCTGGACGCAAACCTCCTCTAGACTGGTGAGGGTCCCTTGCTCAGTATGCTGCCTGTATATACCCAATAAAATGCCCATGTCCATAGTCACTCGGCTGGGTAGCAGAAGGCCTAACCTGAAGATGGCTCTGGTGCCTGCCAGGGGAGTGCTGCCCTCTTCATGATAGCGCTGGCCTCGCTCCTTCCCTGTGGATGTCATGTTTGAGCTCTGTCTTCCTGGACAGGGCAGAGTTAATGTGCTGCTAATGAGACAGTCTTTAAATGTTTGGTAGCATTCACCAGTGAAGCCATCTGGTCCTGGACTTTTGTTTGTTGGGAGGTTTTTGATTACCGTTCCAATCTCCTTACTAGTAATCGGTCCTGCCATTTCTTCTTATAATATTTTCTTAGTCCAAAAGCCCATCACCTACTCTCTGATGTACCAGTTTATCTACTCTGTTAGTCACATGCTAACGCACTGATTTGATAATTCCACTACCTTGGTCAAGAACTTCTTTTGGCTTCCCACTGTCTTCTAGATACAGCATAACTCGATGTGTCATTCCATATTTGTGCCCTGCTGGTTAGCCATCTTTATCTCTTAAAAAAACCTTTCTGTGATAGTCATACGGGGCTTCATTCTATCTTCTATAGAATGTTACAGACGGGAAAATGGTCATCCCACGAGTCCTGCCCACAGGCCTGTCCACCTCTGCCCACAGGCCTGGCACAGTCTCATGATCCCAACTCTGAGCAGAGCTTTGAGGGTTGGATGTGGGGTAATTAATGATTTTCTGATGTTCCACTGGGGTCAAGGTAAAGGTAAACTCCAGCTCCCCACTCCTCTCTCTGAAAGTAAAGTCCTGGTTGACCTGTTCTGCAGGCTGATGAGCAATTCCCCAGGCTCTCCACCTCCAAGACAGAGCCTCTTTCTGACCACTGTGCAGGTAAGAAGGTATTAGAGCACTGGCCAACTTAATCCTCCAGATTTACCGCTGAGAATATTGGGAGGAGGTGGTAGGTAATGCAGAGGGATGGATTTCTTATCTTGTGTTTTTTTTGTTGTTTTTTTTTCGTTGTTTTTTTTTTTGGTGACTCTCAAATGGAAAAAGGAGCTATGAGTCATGGATGTTCATAAAACTGTGTTTTCAAATTTATCTTGCTTTCAGGATAACCACATAATTCAATAAATAAAATCCAGGAAAGTTTGTTCAAAAGGAGCGCAAATAGTAAGGATGTTTTGTTGAATAAATAGTTTGACAAAGTAGAGGTAAGAAGCAGATACCATTTCTCAGGCCATGACTTGGTGATTTTACACACACACACACACACACACACACACACACACACACACACATTTTGGTAATAAAACCCACTATCTTTTCCTCATGTTGCTCTTGACTCCCCTCCTTGTTTTGTACCATCCCAGTTTAAGGATACCTGTAATAAATGAGTAAAACAGAGAAATTGCAGGAAATGCTCACTCCCAGCTGCAGCTACATAAAACTGCTTGACAGAAAGGTGCTCTCTGTCAGGGACCTAGGTCAAAGCTCCTGCTTAGCTCTCAGGATGCCCCATACCTGACCGACTATGTGCTGTCCACTTTATACTTAGGTAATATGAAGGATAATGGCGGGATTGAGGACTAAACCAAGTCATAATAAAACGCTATTAGAAAATCGTTGCTATAATCCCAGAGTATCTTGAGGGCTTCAGAAGAAGTGGCTGGTCTAGTATTTTATCCTTTAAAACTATGGTCATGCAGGGACAGTTCCAATTAAGCAATTCCCCTGGCTTCCATCTCTGGGAGCCTGTTCTTTCTTCCCATCTGTGATCTTTGCTCTCCTCTTTTCTGGTGAAACTGCCTTCTTAGCAGGGTCAGCTAAGCTCAACGGCCCCGATTTACCAGCAAAACACTGGCTCTCACTGTTGGGTTAAAGGGCAGAGCACTGAGTTGCAAAACAACGTGATTCAGCGCCTTGCAAAGCAGCGCTGGCCCGTTAAGCGGCCTGTGAACATCGCAGTCTCTCAGCCTCTAGTAAACACGAGTTGAGAAATGATGACACGCGCTAACAATAGCGAGGCCGGCCGCAGGAGCGAGGCTGAACAGATTTGGTAATTTCTTCTACAGCATTTGAGCACGTGCTTGCTCTGTAATTCCATTTCCCCGAGACCCTCCAGAAGTCTCTCTCACTTAGGGAATAGGCCTGTTTGGTCCCTGGAGAGGAAGTGCAGAGGCCGAGGGAGGCCCCACAGGGAAGGCAGGCGGTGGGGAGAGGGTTTGTGGCAGTGAAGAGTAGTCGTTGAATTAATAGACATAATTGTTGGGGAGAGCAAATAGATCTAAATTTCTCCTGTCACACAGCCTGACTGTGGCTCCCTCTGTCGGCTGTGAGAGCGAGTTATAAGGCTTTGATGGGGTATTGCGGAGACTAAGAGGCAGCCAGAGGAAGGAGTGCCTGCTGCTGGGCTGGACTGAATGAAGGGAGGGGCGGCTTCATCCTCAGCCTCCCAAGGTCAGGAACATGGCCCCCTGGGGGTTGCATAATCAGCTGGCTTTCTATACCAGTCACTGAGCTTATGTTGATGTCTGTGATTCTAATGATACGTTCGTTAATATTATTAATATTTATATTGCATAGTTAACATTTGCTTAACAATGACTCTGGGCCATGTTTCTAACTGTTCTACCTGTACATTAATGCATTTAATCCTCACAATAGCTCCTTGATGAAGATAATTATTACCCAAATTTTAAAGATGTTGCAACAGAAGTACAGAGAGGTCACATGATTTCCCCGAGTAACATGGCTCTAAGAGGTGGAGCTAGGATGTGATTAAAAAAAAAAGTCTTGGAAATTTTTGTCAAGGTGAATTTTTCTAAGATTCAGGTTTAGACAGATAAAGGCTCAGTGGCGATGTGTACTTCATGCGGCCATTCTCCTGAATTCCCAGAAATCGATGATGAGGAAGACTCTGCTGGGTGCTAAGAGGCGTGGAGAGGAATCATGGGGATTTATAAAGAGGATTGGTCAGGGTCCCATGTCAGTGAATTTATACATCTGTTCAGGTGGTGCTTAGGTGGCTCGGCCTAAATTCTATTACAACTCTTGGTCCCATGTTCTGAAACTGTCCTGTGCAATATTGTACCTACTAGCTACATATGACCACTTACATTTAATTAAACTTAAAAATGAAAATTCAAAAAGAAAAAAGAAAATTCAATTCCTCAGCTGGACAAACCGCATCTCAAGTGCTCAGTGGCCACATGTGGCTCGTGGCCACCACACCGGTCAGTGCAGCACAGAGATCTGTCCCTGCAGAAAGCTCGGGGCAGAGGTGCTCCACAAAGCCACTTGACTTGAACTGCCCAGAGAGGTCAACTCAACCCATGTTCCTTGCCTTCTTTCCTTGCTCCGTTTCACATGTTAGGGTTGGGAACAACTTCCGGCTCCATTAAAAACTTAATGAAAGCCATTACCCAGAAAATGCACCTATGCAATTATACTCAGACATTTGCATACAACTTTGGTGGGATCATGAGACCTCCATGTGACAGTTGCCCACTGGTGCATAGCAAATCACCTCAAAACCCAGTGGCTCAAGCAACAGAGATTTATTATCTGGTACAGTTTTGTGGTTCAGGAATTCAGGAGGAGGTTAGCTTAGTGATTTTGGCTCGGGGCTGTCATTAGGTTGCAGTAGGGTTGTCAGATTTAGCAAATAAAATACAAGATGCTCAGTTAAATTTGAATTTTAGATAAACCATAAATAATTCTTTAAGTAGGTCCCATGCAATAATCGGGACATACTTTTACTAAAAAA